AACAGAAGAAACTTAAAATATTGAATTAACTTTATTTTTTTTTTAAATACATAGAACATTATTCTGCAAAAATGGATTGCGTGCAGCATTCTGTAGCATTCTAATGCATACAGAATTCAAATACTGCAGGGTGCAGGGGTTTCCAAACCTTTAAATTTTTATACCACTTAAATAAAAAATGAAAAATATATGTACCATCATAAAAGCATTTTCCTATTAAAAATGGAACATTTTTAATCAAAGAATAAAACATTATGATCCAGTTACATTCCTAAATGAAGCTTTTGCATTATAATAAATACAATTTTCTATATATTATAGTAAATAGTGGGTAATAATACATAAGGGTAAATATAAAGATTTTTTATTGATGAGGATTAATGCAACGAATGAGCCTGTTCCCTTGTATGCAATTTCGATCTTCATTAATTTCAAGCGTAAGTCAGGTTCAAGTTGGGACCATATCCTACATTTACTTTTAATTAATATCGTGGCTGAAAATCCAAGTTTGCAAAAAATATGATGTGTTGAAAAGCATTAAAAATCTTATCGCTTCCTAGGAAATATTTTCATCTTTTCTTTTTAACCAAAAAATTGCGTCATAAGTTATTTTTAGCTCATTTATGAGATTTTTGTCGCCTAAAATGTCTAAAATCTGATCTCTTTCTTGAACTGAAACATTATTTAGCATAGTACCCAAAATAATAAACTGATCTCTTATCCAACTTCATTGCTTAAAATTTCAGTTAAGTAAGAATGAAAATTGTTAGCCCCATGCAATGTTTTAAGGCCGTCAAAAACGGGAAAAGCTCTAATAAAGCTCCGCAACTCTAATAAAACTGTAATTATTCTGCTTGTGTTATATATTCAATATATTACGCCTGTGAGAAATTCTGAGGCAACTTAGCATTTAAAATCAATTCCGTAGTCTTCGACTACTATGCATAGTTTTAAATTTAAACTCTACTGTTATTTTAAGTTTCATCACCAGAAGTTGTGATTGTTTTTTTAAGCACGAAAAGTGCGTTTATGTTAAAGTTCTGATTTAATAAAAAGATTGTTTTAAATCTTTTCAAAACTGTATTGTTACTTCATATCAAACAATTATGCTGTCCAAGTCTGTTGGGAGCTTGATATTAGTTTATGCTACCAAAGAAAGTCAAGCTCTACAGTCTTCGCAAATAAACAGAAGTATAACTAAACTTTCACACAGACAAGAGATGAAATCTAGCTAAATGGTTTATTAAAACTAAATCTCGCAATAAATTAAAAATTAACCAGTACCAGTCACCACTATTAATGGGGTTCTTGAACATCAGCGAGGAACTGCTCTCTTCACAGATGAGTTCATATTAAGCCTAACCATATATTCTTGACTCATGTTTATCTGGAGAAAACTAAAAATCTCCTACCTGTCGCCCGACATCCATATAAAGGATTAGTATGGCAGCAGAGGTCTCGGCTGATATTCTTTTGGATCGACGCACCGGCCATTATATCTTTCACAAAAGCTTTGTGACTGTTGAAAGACATAGGGAAAAGATATTAGAGCACTATGCTCACTTTTCAGAGATGAAAATGACCTTCAGTTCAGCCTAATGGGCAATAACACTCACCCACTTCCAGCTAAGCTGGTGGATGATTTTCTGAAAAGTTAGAAAATTAACTGTATAGTTTGCTCAACCAAGCTACCAGACCTAAACTTTAGAAAACATTCTAAGATACTCTTGAGAGGGCAACAGTAACTTGTCCGGAAAAACTGAAAAAAGGCCAGGGCAGCTGAAATTCAGGTTTGTTTTTCGAATCAATTTTAAAGCGAAATAAACTAGTGAAAACAAACGAAATTTAGTGATAAACAAACGACTGAATTAACGCAAATACTATGTGAATGCAAGAAACATCAGTGGGAGAAAGATGGAATTGTGGTGTCTTATTTCTAATAGCAAGTTCAGTTTGAATGTTATGATTTTGCGCACTATAAGTCGAACGTTTGCAATAGTTCGAAGACCAGCTGTTTCACACTGTAAAGAATTATTGCATTTTCCCATCCGTGCTCTCGTGGTCCAGTGGTAGTCATGCCCAACTGGCAATTAGAAGATCCGTGGTTCGAATCTCGATAATGTCAGAGTTGATTGATTTTAAATTATATTATTCTTCAAAAAACCCGTAGCAGTCTCTGCAGTGATGACCAAACTAAAATGTAGGTGGAATATAATTTTTGGACGCCTGGATTTGGTCGACTTGATCTTGCACCTCCCTCATATCTCTCCTAAAGAATGGGATAATGCAAAGAATTGTCAAATTTTCTTCCATGTGTATTCTCTGGTGTAAATGCTCGTTGCTCATTCATTTAACAGTTTTTTTATATAGTGTATAGGTGGAAGAGTCAGAGTGAAACTCAGTAACTGAAGCACATGATATAAAGCACAAAAAATTTTCTCCTAGACGTACAGTCAAATTTCGCTAAAAAGAGCGAGGAGGGACCAGGAAAGAAATGACTTATTATCTGGAAGGAGTCTTGAAAAATATTTAGATAAATAAAACTAAATTATGATTAAAAATCTTTAGAAAGCATCAAAAATGTATTTTAAAGCATTTACATGAAAGAATAAGGCAAAATCACCAGACTATAGTGTAGAAATTTTAAAACAAATGTTTAATTCCTGAAATAGCTTCTGACTATTCTGCGTTCAATCTGATGTAAGCATTTTTCATGTTGATTTTCAATAAATAACATAAATTTTTTATTAGTACCAAAAGTTTTGAAAACGTTCCATCTGAGTGGAACTTTTTTACAGATTTCCTCATTATCACTTTTCGAAGTTCCGTCATTGCTAAGCTTCATTCCCCAAGAAATAATATTCTCACCTCTATCAGAAAATAGGCTTAGTCTGTTCAAAATTTGTAAATAATAGATTTTCTTACTTCGGGGGCAAGCAATGGGATTACAAAAGATACTGTATCTTTCGGCGCTGGTATTTAGTGGATTATTCTGCATATTTGCTGTCGCGCATCCATCAGTTGAACTTAATAAATCTCACTCGTAATCTTGACCAAAATTCATTTATTTTTCTTCTTAAAGACATCACGTAGGCTGAAAAACGGCGGCTCACCAAGCATTGCGAAAACTCGAATTTCATTTTGGTTAACCGCTGAAGCAGCTTCAAGCTCACACTTAAAATACTAATTTGCCTTTGAGCAGCTCCTCAGCTAAGTGACCTCAAATACAATTTGCATAACATCAAACAGATACTGTAATGGACTAAGTGACTTAAAGTAATATTTGCATAACATCAAACAGATACTGTAATCGACTAAGTGATTTGAAATATAATTTGCATATCATCAAAAGACACTGTAATAGATTAGTTGACTTAAAATACAATTTGCATAACATCAAACAGACAAATTTATAATGATTATGTAATGGAATTCGGAAAGCATGTGTAGTTACTTCTCTGTGTAAAAGATTACCTTAAATTTGTTTGCCATTTTGATTCGTAAATAATAACTTATTTGATGGATTTGTAAGACGGAGAAGGAAAGTAACTGCAGTTTGGAAAAGACTTGGTACGAAAAGAAACTTGTTTCCTTCTGCTGGACGAATATTTTTTTTTTACGCTTTGAGTTTGAAGATGATCTGAGAGTCAGAGTTAGCTTCAAAAATGCGATCTATGAAGTAGTATCCATTATACAGAAATAGTGGTTAATGGTGTTTATATGGCAAAGCTCACGAGGACTATCTGCCTAAAGGAAGGGATGTCTTAGGAGATTCGTGGAGGTTTTTCTGATGGAAACTATTTCATGTTCACATACTCCCCACTGATAATCATGGGAACAAAATGTGCTGTCAGCCCGTTTGCCTGGCATCAAACCCCGGTCGAATTTTCAGTATTCAGCGGTCTTAATCACTCAACCATTGGTGGGGCTAAATGGAAATGAAATAAGAATTGATGGAGACCAAGCTATTCTGACCTAGTAAGCGAAGTGGCCTACTATCCAGATGACCTTGTAGGATCTAATAAGATTATCGGAGCAGAAAACACGAAACATCAGGTATGCCTTCGCGGGATTTGAACTTCGGATTTTCTGATGGTAGCCAGGCATGCTATCATATACACACCGACGGCAAACAATGGAAAAGGCGGAAAAGGCGACGACTCCTTATATTCTTTCTCACTTAAAAGAGCCTGAAGGGAGGAAACCCAGTTGCCAAAGTCGGGTGATAATGACATATTGTCCACCCCATTTTAATCCGGCATCAGTGGGGAGTATGTTAATCTTTTCGAATCATGAAACACGTAAAACAAGGTATACATTTGATAGGATTCAATCTTGAGATCTTAAGATTGCCACTCGGACATGCTACTCCTTACACAACGAAAGCACGCAGTAGGAAAAGCAAAGATTCCTTATAACCTGGTAAGGAAGTTTGGCTGTAGTAACGATATAAAAATGCTAATAAAATTAGTTACTTTAGTCATTTACATGTTTCCGTTTTCTTTTTACTGTTATTTCATATTGGATAACTATTTTCGAAGCAATTCTTACAGTCCCAGTGGAGGGATGCATGTTAGTTTCTTTGTTACCATTTAAAATTTAGTGTGCATTTTATTTTTTATCATCTGATTCTTATGATGCAAAAATGGAATGTTTTCAATACAAGATTCTTTTCATTATGAGAGTGGAAACAATTTTTGTCTACCTTTCAACCTGGCGACATGTTTGGAGGGAGGGGAATGTATTAGTTGGGTTTTATCCTCTGTTAATGTAATGAAATCCTTGTTAAATGTTAGATTTTATCCTGAAAGACTATAAGTTTCCTATAAGTTTATTATTAATATTGTTATTTATTGCAGTACGCAAAAAACGTATTTTTGTCTTTTATTAAAATTACTGTTTCTTATTTTTATAAATGAGTTATTAAAAAAAAGTAAATGCTTCCTTTTCGATTACATTGGACTGTACTGTAACGTTCTATATACTTTTTATCATTTCAGATAATAAGAGCCTTTCAGTGCCAATGGTCATTAGGAATATATTTGGAGATTCTCCTGTCCGAAACCTTTTACAGCTGCTCTTTCAACTGTTGCAAGGGTATCTATTGCTTTATCTACAAGTGAATTAATCTGTGATTTATTCACAAGAAGTGATAAACTTTGATTGATGTAACATTGACAACTTTGATTGATGCATCAACAACCTTTTGTCATACACAGCGCTATATAATTAGAAAGCCTGTTGCGTAACCTGCTTCATTTTTATCTGCAGTTAAAAAATATGGAGAAAAATGTGTATTTTACCCAATTATCATTCATTTTAAATTTGAAAATTTTATAAAGTATTTTTTAAAATTTGTTATTGTATTATGAATTTTTATGAAAATTACATCATAAATATATCTGATAATTGTTTTTAAACGTTGTTTGTATGTAAAGATAATTATTATTTTATTTGAAATATAATTTTAATTATTAACTATCAATAACTAACATTCTTTTCTTTGAATTTTGTCACTTTATACAGAGGTATTTGTGCAAGCGCCCGAAATATTGTCTTTCCTTATAGTTACTACAAATTGTTAGCTCTGTAGGTTTGATCATGGAAATAAAACTGCCTACTTTTCACGAGATTCAGATATACAAATCCATATTTCATGCTATACAAAACCAGCACAAAAATTGTACTGTAAATGAGTAACACAACATTGGTTCTCAAGTTTACATGTTATTGATGCATATATGATATTCGAGTTATTATTGTTGTTATTTTGCATATAATTATTTATTCTATATGTCGTCCAAGTTTAATTTCGAATCACTTATATATAAAGTTATTAGAAGTTATAATTCTGTAATATTGGTGATGCATCATTTTAGCAAATTATATAACCATAAAATGTATCTAATAGTATCCGTTGTATTATTATTGTAAAACTGTAGAGATATTTTGATATTTATAATTATTATTTAGCTATGAAACTAATTTGTATAATTAATTTGGCCTTAGGTCTAACATATAACTTAAGCGTGCTTAGGTCTAACATATAACTTAAGCGTCCTAAATTTATGTGAAATACACTTGGAAGGCAGTTTGGCAAAGAACTAATTCATATTTTTTGTTATCACCATATTGCAGTATGCATGATTCTTAAAATAACTTTCTCTTTTTAAACCTATTGGACGTTTCCACGACAACTACCACAAAACTTTCAGCCGGAATTAAGTATATGAACAAAACTACAGGTGCGAAATACTGTATTTCGCAGTTGCTGGCAACCCTCAGTACACGGTGTATAGAAAGGCAGGTTTGGTGGCTGCATTCATAGCCATAGAATTGACATACGTTATTATATTTGTGAAGTATGCAGCGTTTTATTGTCATCGAAAACAAGCCTTTCCGAATTTGATGTACATAAGCTGGCAAATTCGTTCCAGTATTCGGTATTAACCTGAATTTTCTGGCAACTGCTGTTAAACGCTCTTGTTCATCCTACGGGATAAACAATTTCTCGAAAATTGCTTATCAGTTATATGTTGGAACAGTGCCATCTATTGGCATTTCTACGTTACCTCCAGCACTAAAATTTGTATCACAACATGAAGAATACGAGCCATTTGGCTGATCGTACAACAGGCTCCAAAACGTTACTTGTTAGCATGTCCATGTCCATGCCTCATATCACACTATTCAAGCAATAGTCACTGCCTTACGACGCGACTACTAGTTGCAATAATGCATTTTATAAAGACGTCGTTATTCTTATCAATGTATGACTGTAAATACTGTGGGCTCCTACACCATTTAATACGCCCTGTGGTGGGGCTTAAGAGCGACTGCTAAATGGGGTGTTTTTTTTTTTTTTTTTTTTTTTCAGTTGCTGGATTACTGCTGAAAAGTTCGTGGCAATAGCCATCGGAAAGTCCAATAGCTTTCCTTTAAGTAAACACTTTTCTTATTTCTTTAAATTTGGGAACATAATTAACGTTAAAAAGCAGCAATGATATTTATTGCTTAAAATCTATTGTGATTTACTTTATAAAGCATTTTAAAATTAATTTCACTTAGAGGTTATGATGTTAAGATTCATCTTCATATTTAATCCTTGTAATAAGTGTTTTAAGGTAGGGATGAAAAACTGTAAAGCGTACGTTATATACCGTAAAAGTCACTAGTTTCTGTTTCTTTCTGCTATATACTGGAACAATTTTTAAAGTACATCTTTAAAATCAGAATTTCGAAATATTTGAAACAAAACATTAAGGAATACAAAGAAAAAACTTTGGGTGCTACTAAAGCACTTCTTCTTTTCGTTTGCGAGATACTACACTAAAAATTATGAATTCCCATCAATTACATGTAATTGTTTTTAATTTTACAGTAAGTAGTTAAGAAATTGAAAGAATTTTTTTTATCTCTGTTATAGATTAAAATATTTTTATTCAATGCAATTAATTCAGATGATGTTAAATTAATGACTAGCTGAAAGTATTAGGTATCATGTATATATAAACACAATACGTTATTTAGTACCTAATATGTCAGAGAAAAGAAAAATGTTGTTTTATTACCAAATATAAGAGCTTTCCTTGTAAATAGAAGTAGAGTTAAAAATTTTTTCTAAATTTATTTCTCTTACAGCTAACAAAATATAGAAAATACTAAATGGCAACACAGAACTGCAGAAAGAAACAAAGACTAATAACTGTTACGGTCTTTGGAAGAGGATTTTAGCCGGCAATACATTGAACTTTTAGTTTTTCGTTTCATTGATCATTTAATATCGTTCACGCTCATGAAAAAAATGAAAGCGACATAGGCTGAAAATAAGCATCCACATAAGATCTAATTCACAGGACGAATCTAATCATTAAATTTTTAGAACCTGTATAGAGTTCAGAGTAAATCAATTTTCCAGCACGAATTTCCAATTCAACTGAAGTTTCTGAATGCAAGAATACTTAGTATAAGATCAGGACCGACGCCAGAGTCTGTGCTACCGGTGGGTAAGATTCATTCCAATAGACGTAGTAACTTAACTGGTTACGTTATGAATTAAGTGCCATGTCAGTTCTTTTTTTTTTTTTTTTTTTCCATTGACTCTAAAAGTGCCACTTTTCGAAGGGCAAAAAGATCACAACCTACTGGTAGTGTAACTGATCTAATTCTTCTTTCCACAATACAAATGCACTATTGTAAATCCTTGTCTCATCTAATGACTCGGAATGACTTCGGAGACTATAATTTCTACTCTAAAATTGACTGTTCAGAGCTCTTGATATGTTTCCTTGATATTTAAAATTATCTCTAACCTTTAAGTACCAGTGTAAAAAAGGTTTCAAGCGGTTTCGATCCGTATGGATCGTAATTTTGAATAACCGAGCTTCAAATAACACATTTCTGAATGTTTCTTAATTAAAGAAGGATAATAGTAAATATAAGATCCTTAGAAACGAATTAATATGGCTCAAAACCTTTCTTAAATGATTCAAAAATCGGCTTTTATAAATTTTGTTAAAGAAATGCTATGAAGTCGTTGAAAATGAATCTTCGCACTTGTTTTAAAAGCGTCTTCCTTTTTGTGTGCTGTCGTTTGCTGTACCTTTCAGCTTCGGTTAACTTGTTTTCTACCTCTATTCAAATAAGCAAGTATCAGGGACTGCATTCATGTATTCATTGTGATAGAAGTAATCTCATTAGCATTTAATATCTAATGAGCAATGTCTTTTCGAAGTGCCTTTAAATGTGTTCATTCTGTTCTTATGATTGATATAATTACTTTTGTAACATAGTTTTGAATATATTGACAAAAAGTATCTTAAAATAAAAATTTATATCTACTGTTTATTTCCTTTCCGTTGATAAACAAACACTTCAACTCATTAACACAAATCGCAATCAAACGAGTAAAAATCACAAGGAAAAAGTAAAATTAAGTCACTATAAGTGAAATGAACATAAAATAAAAAGTTTATAAACATAAATCACAGACACAAATCATAAGTGTGAAATGAGTGAAAGTTACAACAGATAATCAGAACAAGTCCAAAGTTGAAAAGTGTGTATAAAACACAAGACTTTATGCTATTGCTTCTTCCTCCTTACTTGAAAAAAACTAGGCCAAATTCTAAAAGGTCAGTCACTCTCAAAATTTCAGTTACCAATAAAGGGTTTAGTGAACATAAATTAACAAGGTTATACATAAATCAAAACTGTGAATTAAGTGCCAATTGCAAAAATGAAGGAAGCACAAGTCACAAGACTGAGTTCAAATCACAAGAATCAAGTAAGCACAAATCCCAAGGTCTGAAGCACAAATAGCCGCCCAGACTGTATAGTGGTTAGGGAAGCCATTTGCGATACCGAAGGGCCGAATCCTGGAGAAGGTATGGACGTAAATTGTCTGTCTTCTCATAGGAGGTAACGGTGGCCGCCTATTAGGTAACTCCATAGTAAAAATGGTCACCACTTCTGGCCTTAGTAGTGACGAAAGTCTAGAAATGGCTAGTCCCCGCCGTAATAATAATAATAATAATAATAATAAAGAAAAAAGGGAAGTTCAAATTGCAAGATTTTAGTAAACGTAAATCACCGAAAAGGAGAATAAAAATCACAAGTGCCATTCACAAAATTGAAGTAAGCGCAAATTTAAAGATTCAAATGGAAAGAATGAAGTAAGTGCAAATTATGAATATGAAGTAATTAAAGATCACAAGATTTTAGTGAGCACAAATCGGGAAAACAAGAGGAATACAAATCAAAACAGGGAAATAAGTACCAATCATAAAAATGAAGTAAACGCAAATTACAAAGTTTCATGAATTTCATATCCAAGCACAAGGTGCAAATCACAAGGTGCAAATCACAAGGTGCAAATCACAAGGTGCAAATCACAAGGTTTAATTACCATAAATCGCCAAAGTAAGGAAAACACATTTCACAACTGTGAAATGAACACTAATCACAAATCACAATATTTAGTGAGTTCAAATCACGAGAATGAAATAAGCATAAATTACAAGCATGATGTACAAATCACAATATTTTAATGAACACAAATCGCCGCAATAAATTACAATAATGAATTGAGAAAAAATTCACAGGCATGAAGGGAGCATAAATGCTATTGAAGCATTTCGAAATTTAAAATTATAAAAGGCAGAACAAAAATGTATACCTATAATATTTATACAAACATATGACTATTTTTATAAGCGAGATACATAGCATAAAATACTGAAAAAGTTTTTTCTTAATATTACTTATGATGTAAAAATGTATAAATATCGTAAACAATATCCGTAATACTTTCCTTTTTATACATAAAACTTGCTCAGATAAACACTGCTCTTAAATAGTTCAATATACTATGCCGAAAGATAATGCAATGCTAATTTGAAAGAAAAATTTAAGGTAAAATTAACAAGAAGCAAAGTTACTCTGTTCAAATTTCTCAGGCTTCTCACTGATCAACAAAGGACACTGCAAAAATTTTAAAAGACAAATGTCTTATTCCCACTAAATGAAAACAACTATCAGAACCAGCAATTTGTAAAGCCGCATGAATGACTAATACTACGATTACACACAATGCAACGCATCGTGACCCAAGAAATAGAAAGAACAGACAAAAAAAAACCTTTTAATGTAAATATTTAATAATCTTTATTATCTTTTCTATGTTGCATATTTTCTTTCTTAATGAGAGACAAAGAGATCATTTTAGACTGAAAAATGGAGAAAAAGAATTTAAAAAAAAAGAAAAGAAAATCTGAAAAGTTTCAGATTTTAAATTACGTCTAAAGGAGCGTTTTTTTAACATTTTGTCTGTTACCTTTATTTATTAAATATCACGTTGTTTGCACTTAAACCATAAAATTCAGCTCAAGAGCAATATTCCAAAATAGTTTTGAATTGAGCATATCCTTTAGAATTTCCGATACAGAGTCTCGCACGCTGGAGATTATTTTATTTTAAGCCCATTCTGCACGTTCCTTCCCTTATATCTTACTTCACGTGCGTCGGAAAGCTGCGCATTTCACATCATTCGCATAACTCAGTGACGTGCGTCTACTCTAAAATGTGCATAAATTTCTGACCACTTTCTCTTGGTGTTGCATTTTCAATGTCGAGCAGTGTATATCATCAAAATCAGATTTAAATGTTTAAGATATATACAAAGCTTGATATCAAACCAATATTTATGGATTAACTGGTTAAGGTAAATAACTCGAGCGCTATCTGCCTATGGGAAGAATTTCAAAGGGAAACTGACTTTCTAAGCAAAGGGATGCTTTTCTGAAGACATTTTTAAGGATAACGGAAATGGTTAGGTTATCCGAATATGGTCCAAGAACTCGAGGGCATATTGCTCATTAAACATAATAAACAACCATACAATCAAAATCTGTTTGCGTGGGATCGAACAAGGGTCGAACTTTCAATATTCAGTAGGCTTAACTTTTCTGCTATTGGTGGAGTACTAAATGTAGGGGGGGAACCAAGATAATTCTCTTGCAGCCAGCCCGTTCCACGGAATTTAAACCCTGGTGAAACTACCAGTGTTCGAGAAGTTTACCTCTGTAATACAAGTGCTTACATAAATATTCGTGAGACAACCAATGTTTATGTTTAACAGTTTCGATATTAATAAATATTGTAACTGGAAGTGTACCCTCGTACAGCAAGATAAGTCGATACAAAAGTGATTGATAGTAAATCAGTCTTGATAGCAACTCGTAATCTTATAAATTTTTTTAATCCATCACTTTTGTGAAAACTTTTATTAAAATTCGACTTGGATCCTTAAATTGCCACTTGCTAACGCCCAAAAGGTGAGACAGAATAGCAGCCTGATTATGATGAATATTTGTCGAGGAGCAACCGATAATTTTTAGGTTTTTAAATGATTTTGCGTGTTTAAAACATTGATAAAGAGTAAATTTAGCAATAAAGTTATCTCATATATTTTAATTATGTGTTAATATGTATAAAATTTGCTTAAAGTTTGTCGTCTGGAAAGGAGCATGTTATAGCATTCTTCTGGGATTTGTGATGCTCATGAATCCAATGCAGTGAAGCTCTAGTCCTCCGACGTCCGATTAACAAAAGTTTTCTGTTACCTAAAAGAATTGATAAGATTTTCTTATTTTTCATGAAGACTTTATAAGGTATTTCTCCCGCCTTCTTGGCATGCCTTCGTGGTGTGGTGGTCTGTACACTGGACGCGTATTCCAGTGATCCGCGGTTCAGTTCCCGGCGAAGGCGTTGCTAATTTTTCAATCTCTCTTGCTTCCAAAAAATCCTAATGCCTCTACAACTTTAACTACAATTTAGTATTCTGCTCAATGCACAGAAAATAAACACTAGCTTTTTCTCACGGATGAAGAAAAAATACCATCAAATCAGAACACGTTGATTTTCAGGAAGACATTATTCCTTACTATGTCTTAATGTTGGTATGATCACAGAACAATATATCAAAGAATCCAAAATGCACTGTAAAATAAAAAATTTCGAAAAACCATGTTTAACCGTTTGGATCGAGGAAGCTGCCTTCGCGGACCCTCTAAACCCAGATTTTCCTCCTTTCTTGAAAAATATGCTGATAGCTATGCAAAATTGAAAGATAAGTACAATAATAAAATTTCAACTAACGAACTTCATGCATTCTTTGATAATATCTTAGAAGGTTCAAGAAGCGAGCGAAATAGACAATGGGTATGCTATAACATAAATAAAATTACCAAACTAACTATTCATTCATGTAATGCATATCAAAGATCGTTTTGTAGCCGCAAACGTTTGGAGCAATATAACCATAAAATTTTTAATCTAACAATTATTATAACCCAACCTACAGAATATATATAGGCATTTTAATTCCAATACAATAAAGCACGGTGCTTTATATCTCCTTATGTGGTTACATGTGGTTTTATGAGTGGTCTGGTGCTTGCAAGGCGTTCAAACTGACTATTATAGACCGTGTATCCACCAGAGTATGTACAGAGTAGTTAGCAGTTTACATAGCATGGACCCACTAGTACATATATGAAATGCTAAGGAAGTCATTACAAATTCATTTAATTTTGTTATCTGTTAACTGTTTCAAGGTGGTTCAAAATATTTATAACTAAAATGTAACTGCAATGAACAACACTACATAATTTTTTTATCTCATATCTCAGGTAAATAACAAATAAAGTTTAAAAAAAGTAAGCTTAAAAATATAATTTATTAGATTTCATGGAACTAAAGTTTGCTTAAAATTACTTGTTTAAAGTTATATTATTTTATTTTGAATCAAAAAGCTAATGAAAACATGAAATCCGAATAAATTCTACCATTTCAGATTTTTACCATTTCAGAGGGATTTATACCATTTCAGGTAAAATTTATTGATATATTTCATAGAACCAAAAATTATCATTTATTAATATAATTTAATGAAACAGTGTTCTTTCCAAAGTGGCAGAATCATTTGCTTAAAATATTCAGCTGCATAATAATTTTGCTGTCAAACATCAATTGAGGGATCAGAACTGGAAGAAATGTAATTTGGTTTGCTAAAGTTTGATAAAACATTTTTCTATCCTACTCTTGAAGTTGAATCTGATTCAGTTTGGAAACGAAAATATTATAAATAACACAAGAATGCCAAATTGTGAGAAGTCATATCAGAAAGAATTGCCGATTTAAGAATTTTTAAATTTCATAGATATTTTCGGACCACTGATAATAATTTATTTCAAATTATTTTATGTTAAATGGATTACGACTAAATAACAGATAAATTGGTATCAAAATTGATTTTAGAGAGCAATTTCACGCTCAATGAACA